CAGCACAAGTGTAGACGAAATATAATGTTTGTTATTATCTCCTATTTCAGGCACCTATAAGGGGTCTTGGATACAGGGGTTATATTGTGTTTCAATTCTGTATTATGATTATCGCATCTACTTTTTGAGACAATACTGTCACCATTTCCAGAAAGTTTTCAAAAGCATTGGAGAGCAGTGGTTAGTTGCCAGTGCTTTGGAAAAAAACTTCTTTTGAGAGGCTGCCAGGTTTCAAAAGTAGACTTTATGGATAGCAATAATAACAGCAACAACAACAAAAATACCAACTTTATTTTTATAGCCTGCCTCCATCTCCCCGAAGGGACTCAGGGTGGCTTACAAACGGATAAGTCCAAACAAACACAGATTAAACACAATGTGGTAAGTAAAATAAAAAACAAAATCAAAATATCAGAAATAAAATAAAACGCATCACAATAACACAGCAAAACATCATAAAAGCAATCCCCAAGCCGAACAGTAAAACTAATCTCAGAGGGCTAAGAGTTTGTGCAATAGTTTCTGGATAGGGCTATGGGAAAGTGCAATATCCAATAGAAATTAGAGCTGAAGGGTACACGTTCTGATGCAGGATGCTAGCCATTTTTAAAATAATTTATTTCAGGAAGAAAATACTTTCTGAAAAAATTGAAGTTATTAAAGTCAACAGGCCATTATACATTCTAGCTTTTCAACTATATTCTTCAAGTGAAGGATATCTCCCTAGGTTGAAAAGTTTTAATTCAAAGTAGTATAGAGCCTTTTCAGCCTAAATTTAAGAAGTTTCTGGGAGCAGTTCTATGCACATATGCTTGAAGGTGAGCACCACTGAACTAAGTGGTATATTTTCTAAGTAAACAAGTACAGGTCCGCCTGTTATTCTCATTAATGTTGAAGAGAACTTTCCATCCTTTCCATAGAAATCAGCGGGACATTATTTTTGCTGGATTATGCTTCTAGTTATTAATAGCAAAATGAGATTTGGTGGAAGGTTTTTCAGAATTCAGTGGTCATGGTTCATTTAGAATAATTTTTCAGCTATCTAGTCTTTACTCCAGCTTTTATGGTCTCCTTGAAACTGAATTAGTCATGTTTGGGGAAAATATGTTAAATTGTTGAGTTCATAGTGTTTGCTAACAAAAACAATTCTAGATTTATATTTTAATATCCTCACATATATTTTTACTGTGAGGCACCTATGGTTAAACCACGTTAATAGAGTTGTAAATTCCAGTTTTATTGTGGAGCTCCAAGAACAAATCTTTAGTTGAGGTGAAAGTCTTTTACTAAGTTCACTTATGTAATTCTTTATTAATGTTCTATTTCACGTCACTCTCTCACCCAGTTCTCTGAGGCAACTTTCTTTTCAGGGGAGGCTTTTCACAATATGGCACTGAAGGAATTTTAAGAAATTTGTTGCTGATTATTTCTTAGATGAAATTTAGGGAATGGAATCCAGTGGTAGACCACAAGTTTTACATGGAAAAAGTGCAAGACTACTTTTAGTATTGGGGAAATACCTAATTGGGAGATACATTTCCACAGACAGATGTAATTCACTGTCAAGCAAAGGCAGGAGACATGGATAGACTCATATATAGCAGGGTTGCCAGATCTGAAGGCCTGGCCACGAGTCTTCAGTTTTCATGGACTATCTCCAAATTGGAGTTCAAATCCCCTAATTGGTTGGGTCCAGTTCTGGACAAGAGGAAAATACTATGTTCAGCTCAACTAGTATATCAACATCTTCCTAATATTTGCACATTTCTCCCACCTCCATTTGTTTATTGATTTCTTTGTTCATTTAATTATTTATAACAATCTAATATATATGCAAAAAAGAAGAAAAGAAACAGGAAGAGAAATAAACAAACAATGGAATGAATAAGACATACAAAAACACAGTAGAATTGTGAAGAGACAGTCCTGGCAGCAATGAAAAAATATATCTTCAGTTAAACAATCCCACGAAATTACTAACACCCATAACCACATATTAGTATATCATTAAATTTCTTATTGCCAAAAAAATCTATGAACAGTTTCCAATCTTTTTTTTAAAAAAATCTTCAGTTGGCTTATCCTTCAAAAATCATGTTAATTTTGGCAGTCTAAGCCAAAAATTGGTACATCTTAATTCGTTTGTTGCTTCAACTTGCAAAGATACTCCAGGGTGGCTTAATATATTCATTTAGTGAACTTCCTCCTTCCCCGCCAATTGTTCTGCTACTGGGTCTCACCTTCCATTCTCCTGTGAATCCACTTTTTTTCTAAAAGCAAGTAAGCTACAGTAAATTTAATGTTGCCTGTCTATCCCATCTCTCTACACGAGAAAGAATAATCTCATTTTTATCTTAATCTGGAAACAGCCCTTATAGCTAAGATGTCTGTCTCAACCAATAAACAAAATTATGCTATCTATGTGTTTGGTGACAACTGTGGTTGATATTCAATGCATAACACTAAAAGACATCACCAGGGCCTGCCCCATCTCAGATTT